TTTGAAAGAAGAAATAACAATTAAATTATAATTTTAATCTTTAAAGCATGTAAGTGCTCGAAGTTTGAATCTAAAAAAAAATTACAAGAAAAAAAAACTATTTCTGTTTTTCTAGATATATTTTCTTTAGATTTAAACATCGAGCAGTTACATGCTTTAAAGATTAAAATTATAATTTAATTGTTATTTCTTCTTTCAAATGTTTGGTACTTGTGAAGGTATTCATCTGACATTGTGGCCTTGCAGCTTAAGAAAGACTAGAAAGAATTCAATACGGCCGTCAAGGCCGCGGTAGCATAATTGGTCAGTGAATTCGCCCGGATAGAGTAGGGTGCGGGCATGCTTGAAAATAAAAATTATAAAAAAATATATAAATAATGTTTGTCTTTTTTCCCACATGTGGGGCCGGTCTTTATATACTTCTATCACTCGAGACGAAACTTCATGCTCATTATGATCTGCCGTCATCTTGATCGAAATACATGCTCTCCGTGTGACAGTTACCAAGCAACTGATTGAGAAATTGCCACGATCGCGCTACACACGTGGCAACGTGCAGGGCGGCAGGGACTATCTAGGGACCAAGGGTGGTCTCGCGCTCCTGCCGCCCTGCCGCAGGCCCGATTTAGAAAATTGCCCCTGCTTACCTACACACATCACAATCAAGGAGGCAATGAAGGATCACCCCCACTCTTACACCCTAGATTGCCTCTGCGGCAGGGATGTCAGTAGCCCGCTTTAGGCTGCAAGGCAGCGCCATCTCTTCGCATTGTAGGTTACCCACAATGTCAAACTGAATACCATTACAAGTGTTAAACATTTGAAAAAAGAAAAAGCAGTTATAGTTATATTTTCATTGTTTAAGAATGTAACTGCTTGATGTTTAAATCTAAAGAAAATTGTAGGTACTAGAACAAATTCCACGCGGTTCATTCAGTAGACGGAACTCGAACCCGCTTTTGTCACTGTTGGTTAGGGATGGGCATTTGGCAGGTGAAGAAATTGTTGATAATCCTTTTAAAGTACCTACAGAGAATTGTTAAATAAAATGACTCATTATTTAATACAAGTATTTTAATGTACCATTATGAATGCCGTATAAATATTTGAAAATGTAAAACAGTGATAAAATTCATACTAACCAATATACAACTGCAGACAACTCAACTTGAACTCATAATTTCAATTATACATACTTACATTAAACTTTTAAATAATTATAATTTGAATTATATGAAGATCAACTTTTAATAATTATCCACGCGCAACTTATTCGTACAGTTGAAAACAACCTTAATTATTAAATATATAGTTAATAAGCAGGTACCATATTAAATATAACAGTGCAGTTCAAATAAATGCTTCTCGTTGCTGGGATCGCGTTAAAAATAGTGATTGATTCTCGAAAAATGGGGAGACTATGATAATTATAAAAAAGTTGGCCCCGATATTTCAGAGGGATCCACAAAACTAGGAATATTCAAAAACCTTGTAAATACTCTCTGGAAAAAACCATTGCAAATCCTGTAGTTATCAAAATGATCTAAGTATACAGTCTTAGTACGGATTGTATATTTTAAAAAAGAATGTTTGATATAATTGAATGTTCATTTGGAATGCATTTTCTTTCTCTTTGTAAAATTTTCTTTAATATATTTAAATCTAATAGAAAATTTACTCAACTCTACACATGGAAATAATATGTAGGTACCCCTTGTGTAAAATTAAATACCTTGAGCATTACCCTACCTGTAATTATTGATAAATATGCTAAATGTATTTATGTATGTATGCAATACACAGTAATAATTGATAATAACAAACATATGACCACTTCACATCGATTTTGGCAACTGGATGAACACTTGTCTTATCATATTACCTAAGAATAATTTATGCAAAATTATCTAAACTGACATAAAGTAATTGGTTTTTGGATAAGGAATATAGATGGTGCCACTTTACTTTAGACGTTTACATTTGTTTAAGTTGAAACTTGCATTTGTTGTTTCTTGTTAAAAAGCTTGTGATTTATGTCGTGATTTACGTTCAACTTAAAAGGAATTACAGTTATATTTAAGGATGCGGTGTTTAAAGTTTATAATGGAAACAATATATTTAGTCAAGTGGCGCCTCTTGAGGAATAATTTGGCAGTTAAATTCCTTTTCCATCGTTTAACTATTTATTACAATTATCTTTGTTTTTAATTTCAATGTTGTTATTCGCCAATTTAAATATCTATATACTGATCTTTATATGTATGTAATATGTAAGTTTCACTACAACTTGATCACATTCTACGTCTATCGAACACTCGCACGTTACATTAATTAGATTAAAAATTATATACAAGTATTACCTAAAGTACCTTAACTAATAAAACCTAATTTAGGGTTGATACCAAATTCGATACCTAAATGTGTATATGGCCTCAGAATGTAGTATTGTTTTATGTATATTATGAATGTATACAATTGTTTTATAATGACTATTTGAAAAATGTGTATTCATCTCGTAGGTTTGGTTTTTCAATCTTTACATAAAAACCATAAAAAGTGTCAGCTTACTTTTCAAAGTGGCCATCTTACGCGAATTTATAGGTGAATTTTATTTTCACATTGTATAACCAAGACGGCATATTACGGTACAAATCTAAATCTAAGTATTGATTAATTTTACCACAGAACAGCGATTATAATGGTATCGAAATAGGTAGGTAAATATTGGCTTATATTACCCTCGCAAATTTAAAGAATATCTCTTATTTAGTCAGCCAAACACGTACAATTTCATACCAGGTAAATCGAAAACTGATTTGAAAAAATCTTTGTCTATCCTAATTATGTTTACATTTATATTGAACTGAACAAAACTACATATCAAATTTATAATTCAGTCGAATAAATTTTTACTACATAACGGTTTCATTAATCTTATTTTTAATACCTGGGCATCTTATGTATGTAACCCTTACGATATTACAAATATAAGATTAAAAAAACCGCATTATGACGGAATTAACTTGCAATAATATCTAAAGATTTTCAAATGGAACAACGCACAACCGCGGAACCGATATAGAATTTGTTTAACTTAAAGTTAACAAATTGAGCTAAACGATTTTACTTAATATACCTATTAAAAAATCTCTTGCAATCTGATACAGGTCTTTCAAATCGGAAATACTTCAAAAAATGCTCTTATAATTCTAACAGCTCCGTATTGCTCTTACTTTAAAAAGAAATTTGGAAGATTGCTATCCGAATTTATGCTACCTTATTTGTAGTCGTTCGTGGTGTCCTCGATTATATAAATAAATCATTTTTTTAAAAACGTAGAAAACTGAAGTGGCGAATTGTAAAGCTTTACAAATGGTTGTCTTTAACTGATAACTTGGTTTTATTCTAATAAGTGATATTTATTCATCTGATTTAATAGTAACCCATATTTTGTCTCTGTATAGCAACTATATTGTCTTTATTGTAAGGATAAACATTTCCACGAAAGCACGAAAAAGCCAAGTCAGAAAAACTTGCACATTTGTTTGTAATCGACTAATCGTAGTTAGGTTTTTCTAGCTGCAACAAGGTTTTATTGCAATGTTACAAATCATGCTTGCTCAAAGTTTACGTGAAGCTTTACAACTCGCCGCCTAGATGGCGTTAGCTTCTTAGCTCGGGTTCTGCGCCACCTTGCGCAGACGGTAGCCGCCGGTGCCGCGCACCGTGTACAGCACCACAACCGCCACCGCCACCACCGACATGCCGATGGCGTTCATCACGATCGACTCCTGGCTCATCGTGGCGTAGGTCTCTTTCCTGCACACCGCATGCCCCGGGTTAGTAAAATTGATAAAATACACTTTACTGTACACTTAACTAGAACCAAAATCGAATTCGTTATGTTTGCGAGTGCGAAAAGTCATTGTCAAATTTGTATAGAAACCTGAAAAGCAGCGCTACAACGGAGTCATTAAAAATCAGTACACATGTAATGAGACGTTTAATTTAGATGTTTCATGAAATGTGTTGTCTGTCATTATAAGATATAAAAAATAAAATAATATGGTGCAGTCTCGCTATTTTAGACCCCCTGATTGTTAAACTTTTTAGCTCTGCAATCCTTTTCATTTCATAGCTGAGAAAGCTTATTGTTATGTTGTCGCAACACTTTTCTTAGGTTGTGAAAAGAAAATCGTAAAGTTAGGGTTAGACAATTAGCTAGTCCCCAGGTTACTTAAGTACTAGGGCTTCGAACGCAATCCCAAATCAGCAGTCAATGCTCAATTCTAGAAGCAGTACATAGCAAAAGCTATGTTCAGAGGACAAGCGATTTACACGCGTTTTGATAATGAACATTGACATGCGAATGTTTTTGATTTATCAATTCTTGTAAACGCACATAAGCAAAACAAATTTAAAGCTCTTGTTATTTAAACAAAGTTTAACTTTAATAACAATTAGAATAACATCACATTAAAAGTTCATGTTATTAAGTTAGTAGGTGGACGTTAAACTAATCACGCCTCCAAAAACCCAGTCATATTTTTCTGTGAATCCTTTAATAACGAGGAAAGCTTTTGTAATTATGTTTCTAATTCTAACTGCCACCAGGAATTCAAAACGTTAGCATAAACCCAATAATTATAATAAACAAACAAGTGATCGTATAAATATTTACAAAATAAGTGTTCTTGAATACGTGCAACGATCACGAAAAATAGTATTTATGCATTTTAACTCTTAATATGTTATTTGTTATAACTATTAAAAGTAAAACAATAATTATAGTATGAACAAAGATGGCAAAACAATCTGAATCTACAAGAAAACCTCTACCAGACAGATATAATCTATATTTATAAAATGCATATTATCGAACGAGCACTAATTTCGGCTATGCATCGAGTTTTCGAATAAAACGGTACTGATACCAAAAAAAAAAACTGTCACATTTCGCAGAAATTCTCTTATAGATTATTATTATTATTCTCATGTAGATGAAATCGCATTTTTTTACAGAATAAATAAGCAAACAGAATAATTTATGGATAAATGTGTAAGCATAAGTATATTATAATGCATACTAAGCGGAATTATTGTGTAGATGTAATAAACATTGTAAAAGAATTAAATGTTACCAACCTTTATTTAAACGATGTACTACTACTCGTGTAACATAATAGTTGTGTTAAAAACATGCTCTAACTACGCTAAGATTATTTATTATTTTACAAGCTATGAAGTGAAACATCAAGGTTACAATATAAATATTTATTTCAACAAATTTCTCAGTTTTAATTCGAATATATTTTTAGTTCTTATAGTAGGTACTTATGCTACTATGCTATCCCTAATATTTGTTACATAAACTTAGAAATAACTAAAAGGTACATCTTCTTGTGTAATATATTGGTCTGATACAGACCATCTACATAACGAAGGAGCCTCGTCAAAAATTATAATATTCCCTACATATCTACCTAAATATTGTATAAAAATAGCATTTCCTTTATTTTTATACCTTTTTTTTATAAAAAAAATGGATTTAGATACTGTTATTTATCAGTCGAATTCTTAATGTCTTATCAAATTACATACATCGTTTCTTTTTATATAAACTTTGAACAATCATAATAACCGTTTAGGATTCTTAGAAATGTTGGAAAAATATACCTATTGAAACTAATTATAAAGTAGCATCTGTTACTAAGATATATTCAACTCAATTGCGTACTACCATTACTGTAATAATAAGAAATATACCTCTGACAAATCATATATCTTGGTAGATACTTGGTTTATAACCTACTGTTTACTACTTGTATCGTATCGACAATCACGAGTCGAATTTTATAAAAAAAGTCTCGCTTTTAAACATACATTACCGCGTTCTTCTGCTAAACAATGCCTTTCAGACTCATGAAAATTCTCTATTACGGAACAAAAGAGAAAGCTTTTACCGCAATCAATCAAGAAAATCCTGATTGCTTGGTTGGCTTATCGAAACTAAAGGTTCACTGGCATTTCTTATCACCTTTCAGTATACACAAAGAGGTCTAGACGAAAAAAGCGGTAGAGCACACAATAGCGAGACTCTAATCAAAATTTACTTCGATCATATTTTTGAAACGTTTATTCGACCAATTTACAAATCCACGGAGGCTCTTATGTGACTATCGCGGGTAGCCGACGCTCGGAATTTGTCCCTCGACAAGATATACATGATCACAGCCAATATCGCGATAATAGCGACACCAATCGTGTTGATGATGACTGCCTCATCCACCATCGTGCTGTACCTCTCTGCGCTGTGGAATGTGAGATGACACGTACAAGCAACGGAAAAACAAACAGGCATATGACAAACGGGATGATAACATGCTGTGGTATGGTAAAGACAAAAGACGTGCAACTACCACACACGCAAGAAGTAAGTTGAGAAGGCAGCATCTAAGGCAGTACTTTTTATGACTGAAGTCATTAATTAAGTATATCATTTAGAAAAGTGCAAGATCCGTTACAGAATTTTTTGGCACAGTGATTGACAAGCAAAGTAGTTTTCGAAAATTATAAGGCAAACAATTTGATAAAAATGTAGACATTGAGATTTTATTGATATATTTTTAAAAACAAATAGGTAAATCTAACGTCAAGGTTGTTTCAGATTTACCTAATTCGTGAAATAGACCTATCTTTTTTTTCTTAAGCTCAGGCTATACCTACTTCAAAAATCGTTGACCTTGTTTTATGTATATGGCTTCAGTGCTATGTAACATAAACAGAGCTGCCTTCTCATAATTTGTAAAAAACAACAAACAAGACTTAAAAAGCAACGGAAAACATGAAAATATATTAATTTGTAAACTAATTTTATATTGCTCATAATTCATTCCTGATGTCTAGTATATATAGATAGTCTCATCGCACCATCAATAGTATACGTGACGTTAGCACTTCTACTTGAAATAAAGAAGTAAAACCTTAATTTTGTGATTATCTATTCTTACCCAATATCGAAGAGTGCCTTCTCAGTGAGGCCAGTGAGACAGGCGGCGGCACCAAGCACGAAGGTCAGGATACCGAAGGCCGCGTGTATGGGCACCAGGGACGCGCGGAAACTGGCGGTGCCCTTATTGCAGATCAGGAGCAGGAGGAAGCTGAAGAAGCCGACTGCGTACTGGAGATGCCAAAAAAAAGGATATTTCAGTGTAAGTAGAAAGGTAGGTCACAGCGGATGTCCCGCTCGAATTGGAGCACCCGTCTGGGGAAGTAACCACCTAAGCTAACAGAAGATCGCAACTATACCTTTTGGTGTTGTTGTGTATATGTCGATGAGTGAGGAAGGCAACGATACGAGTGATATTTTTGGTATCGCAAGCGTCTATAGGCTTTGCTGGCCGCTAATATCTAGGGGTCAAACGCCTATCTAATAACCTTTTTAAATAGTAGGCAAGTATATGCCTCTAATGCCGTCCATAGGGATGCCCAGGGTTCTAGCAATGGGGACAGTATATAGTGATGATGATGAGCAGGAGGAAGGTACAGTGCTGTTCAAAGTGACGGTTCTAAAGATAGCAGCGAGCACAGCTATACGCAAGTTTCAGTTCATTTCAATACTTCGTGCAAAGTCCTAGTCTATGCTATTATAGAAGTGACTGTAGTATTACAGTTATTTAACTAACATTCCACATATTCTAAATTTTGTCTAATGAATAGCGTTAACTCATATACTGTAAAAGATAAAGGCCATAGCACAAAAGATAATATGAGACAAATAAATTTACAAAAATCTCATCCATATACCCCATTAAAACATTAGTGAAACATGCAGCTTTCCTAGCATTTGATTTGATCACGACTTTGAAAGAATCTATGAATGTGTGTTCGTTGGTTCATTAAATTAGTTGCAATGTCAGCTTCCAGCCGCTATTCTCACTTCCTGGGGTGCTTAGCTTAACGAATGAAAATACCAACCGTACTGGTTCTATGAAATAGGTGATATAAATTAGAGCTATTGCAGCTGCAGAAGGGTTGCTTAACACGCTGCGCAGCGGACTCTTGGAGCTTCTTACTTTATTTGTATATGCTATATCGTTCTTAAGTACACTTTTTGTATTTGTTTGGTATAACTTACTTGAAGTCCAAACAATCCCATGGCGACGAGGCCGATCCAGCTGTGCAGCGAGTAGAAGTTGTTGATGCCCGACTTGTTGTGGTAGTCGAACACGGCGAGGAACCCGATCACGATGCAAGGGAAGGCCAACGCGTGGAAGATGGCGTGCAACAGCTTCACGTAGATGCGCCTGAAGCACCGGCAAATGCGGTACAGCAACACCGCTGGAAAACCACAGAAGATTCTCGTAAGTACAAGGTTTGATTGACTTTTATGTAAGTTAACATCTAAGAATTTTAAATGAAACAATTGAGCATTGTTTTTTTTGTAAAAAGGCCCGGTTGAAACTTAAACTGATCTGATGGTGAGTGTAGGCGAAATAAAATAAAATAAGGAAAAACTGCTTTGTAGTCAGGGGCGCCGTCGGCCCAGGCGTAGCCATCGCGGTAGTAGAACACCCTAAAGATGTTGAGCGCTGACACACCGATCAGTAGGATCGTGGCGAGAGTGATCACAAGCGCGACGTTACTTCCTTGATGCTAAATCGAACTTTAATTTCCTATTCAGAGAGATACTTACAGAACCCGCTGAAAGTAATGAATCCAGCGACCATGAGCGTAGGATGCAGGTTGAACTGCTTGTCGGGGGTGCCGTCGGCCCAGGCGTATCCATCGCGGTAGTAGAACACCCAGAAGATGGTAAGCGCCGACACGCCAATCAGTAGGATCGTTGCGAGAGTGATCACCAGCGCGTATTCGCACCACTCGCACGCACCCCTTTCATGTTCCTCAGATTCGTAAGATCGCGTACGTTGTCTGTAACAATAAATTATAATCATAATTATAATCAAAACTCATGACATGATAGTGACCAAGAAGATGGCGATCTAAAGCTATAATCCATATTAGCTTTAATTCGGTTGAATTTGTAGAAAGTACTTTTATTTTATATGTGAGTCGATCATTGGGAAAATTAATTATCTCCTATTATTATACTAGGTGCATCATCAGTCGTCAGCACACATCTTTCTACATTCAGCTCCCAAGCTAAGGTTGAAATATTAGTGAAGTAATGATCATGGTGCCTCATCTATATTTTTGGGTTAATTTATTTATGTTATGAAAGTTCAGTTCATTTAGTTGCTAAAAATATTTTCCGAAATTTATAATCTTAGTTTGATTTAAATCATCAATAGCAAGTCATAAACAACATCCTATCGAACATTTAGAGCATAAACAGTATCAATTGACTCCAGCACGACATAAAAGCATTCCCTACTATGGCTTATCCGGCTTAACCCGAATATAAGCTGCTGAACTCGTTTCCTGAATAGAGCTTACGAACGCGAGGAGGACGGAAACCGCAGCCTCCTTTGCCACGGGACCTTCACGTACAACTATTTCTACTTATTGTGCCAAACCACTATGTTTGTTTGAAATCATGGGATTCAAAACACTTAATTAGTATTCCATGCAGTTCGTTAAAATTATATACAAAGTTTTGCAGTTGATTGTCAGACAGTGTTATGTGGTAAAAGTAAAAGTATGTTTTGAGTTTTTCTTCTTTCTTTCTTTTGGGGGCGATAATCTTATCGTTTACCACAATTTTATTTAAAAATGCACTGACCGCGCCTACAAGGTTTACAGTAGGTGTCCCTTGAGTCGACCTACCTACACAAGGCAAACTTCAGGCAACCCAGCTGGAACAAAAAGCATGTGGATAGCTAAACCGTAGCGAGTTAAAATCGATGTCCTATTTATAATATTACACGAATACATTCCCCGTACTTAATTTTAAAATACAAGGGATTTTATAAATTCAGTATCGATTATTTTCTGTATCATATCGTGTTGCGGTGGACAGTAAAGAAATTTGTTTATCATTAGAACACTAATTCATCCTTAAGACATATACTTAACTAGACGCCTTATAGTTGGTTGCATATAAACAATGTACCTGGCGTCGATTACAAACCACATCCACCACACAAACACATTCGAAGGTCCGTAGATTCGTCCCATGCAAGGGAATCGTGTTTATAATGTGGTAAAAAAAACGCTTGAAACGTCGTGCCATCGTTCCATGACGTGGGTCCCCTCCGGATGCCCCAATGATCTCACGGTATCTGACACCCTAGCGGGCACGATACGGTCCTTGTCTCGTCGAGATTGTAGTCCTCGTAACAGGCAGGTGTTTAGTACTAACCTCAGTTATGTTATAAATACACACATCAAAGAAGTCTAGACAACATGCATCATTTATGCAAACTTCAAAATATTGGCAGGGGATATTTTATTATATCACTAGTGGCCTGCCCTCGCTTCGCTTCGGTGTAGAGCTGTAGTGTAGACTACAGTTTTTGTTCTCAGGCGTGTGTTGAACACATTGAATTTATTTATTTAATTCTTTTTCTATGATTCTTTTTTTATTGAATAGGTAATAATGTTAACTTTTTTAAATAAGAGATGAGTGAGAGTATTATAAACGTAAGAGTAAACAAATATAATCAGAATGCTCCGAACTGCTAAGCTATCAGGAGTTACACGTATTATTGTGAGTAAACCATAAAAGATAGACATATGCTGTTGCAGGATATTTTTTAGACAATTTTATGTAGAATATTTCCGTGATACATGATTTCTATGTAACTTTAACCATTAAGGCTGCGTACGCGACGGAAGCTTAAAAAATGGAGTAACTTCTCCCGTTTTCCCAACATTTCCCTTCACTACTCTGCTCCTATTGATTGTAGCGTGATGAAAAGTATACTATAACCTGCCCAGGAGTATGAAGAATAATTGTACCAAGTTTCGTTAAAATCCGTCGAGTAGTTTTTGTTTCTATAAGGAACATACACACAGACAGACAGACAGACAAAAATTTTACTGATTGCATTTTTGGCATCAGTATCGATCACTAATCACCCCCTGATAGTTTTTTTGAAAATATATTTCATGTACAGAATTGACCTCTCTACAAATTTATTATAAGTATAGATAGATTATGAAATGTATAAAATATAATTCAGAGGGTTTTTTTGCTTTAACCACTAATTAATCAAGTTGGTTATTATCAACCAAATAATTACAAAAAATTATGTGGCTTATACTCTTTTGATGAGTTTATAAATTATTGCTTTGCTATTGCAATGTCACATGTTGTACTTTGATTTTTTAAGTCAATACGATATGATATAAATGTGTTCTTGATTACGACATTTAAATATCAGCAAAATGCAAGTAAATCTTCCACAGATTCCATAAACATGAAAGGAGCTCAACAATATCTTACAAGATTTTTAAAGAAAATAATGAATATTATGTTGTTTCCCGCTCGAATGGCATGGCAGTGCAAATAATGAATGAGTACAGTATTTTTGGTAATTAACAATTTAAAACCACCAAAAGGCCGTGATCATGGCAGTTTGTTTCTTTTTACTACCTACCCTACGCGTTCGGCCTTACATAAAGAGTTCAGATATGGTGTACTTCACAAGGTGCAAGGTTGCCCCCCTTAAGTTATTCTGCCGCGCTCGAGTAAATCCCAAAATCTCCGCTTGGGCTCCATTACTTACTATATGGCTTTTTCTACTAACCGATAATCTTGTACCAAGTTCAATTAAAATTATTGGAAAGCAGTTTGTGTGCAAAGTTGTACTTATGTAAATTATAGTATGGTTTATGTTCAAACAAGCAACATTTTCTGCCAAGCTACTCAAGCATTTGGAACCTTTTGACAACGAAAGGTATATAAATACCTAACCTTATTTTGAAACATAGTATTTCCTATAATAATAGATTTTTTAAGAGTTGCATCTTACATAATCTTTCAAAGCCAAGGGCAAACGTCAAAACAAGATACTGCAAAACACCGAATGTGAGCTTCACGATACAAATACATTTTTTTTATTTTCCATTACCCAATATTTTCCTATTTTTCAGTAAACGAACGCGCTTAGGTCTTTTTTTATTATTATCTTTTATGTAAATTAAAAAGATAATGAATCCGTGTATACGTCAATAATAAATAGTGACACTATTAACGACTAAAAGCAGTAGAATAATGTATTTCACTTCCTGTGTTGATTTTACGGTGAAAGTGACACGCGACCATTGATTGACCAAACAAGGTGATTAATACTGACAGCAAATGCATTTGCTGTTGTCGTCATGTAAGCTCTTTCCTACTCGTTGATATAATTTAGCTTTTTTGTGGATAGATATGAAGATTGGTAAGAAAAATTATATATGATTTAGACATTCCATGACCATTACCCATTTCGTTGATTTTGAGAGAATTGATGCAAATTTCAGGAAATGCGGAAAATAATTAGAAGAAAAGCTATAGTATCGACCAAATTATTGACGTTATTAATAGGGGGCAAAGTAGTGACTTTGTAAGTTTAACAAGCACGAATACCGACTGTACGAGCAAGCGCGTACATTTTGCCATGTCGGCATTTTACGCCACATGCATTTATTTAGGTTAATTATGAATCAGTTCGTCATCGGTCATTATTCGTACCACGCGTTCTCAGTCATATCATTTTAGTTTCGTAATTATCAGTTGGTTATCAGTAATGTATCATTTAAACATATCAGGACTTTCTCTTCTCTCTCTTTATCATAAAAGGTGTACAAAACCCGTACACCGACGGTCTACAAGACCGTTAAATGAACATATTGTTTTAAACTTTCATGGTCACTAACATTATAGCTATTAACGGGATTGTTACCATGTACCTTGTTTTTTATGAGTCTCCGATATTTCGGCACTGTTGCAAGCGCCATGAATGATCACGCCATGAGTAAGTTATCATCAACTGGCATTATGTCATTCTAAGTAACAAGCTTATACTTATTTAAATTTCTATATCTGATGTTTTAAAGATAACAGCATAATACCTAGTCAGGTCATAAATTCTGTCACATGTTTAATATAAAATAATTGAAACAAGTTTATTCACTATGTAACCATTTATATACCAAAATGAACTTAACAAAACATAGATTCTTATGACATTAAAGTTTATTCAAAATGACCTCCGTGATTTTGAATACAGGCCTTCAATTTGCGCGGCCGGTCCATGTCAATATCGGCGGCTGCCTTAATCAAGGATGTCTTGAGTGACTCCAAATTGGGATGAGGCTTTAAGCACACCTTTTCCAAGTGTTGCCATATCTTGTATTCTATCGGACTCAAATCTGGACTGGAGGAGGGCCAGTCTTCGTGCCGGATGGAGCCGATTTCACGCGCCGCCAGCCAGTCTTGTGTGTTCTTCGCTCTATGAGCTAGCGCCGAATCTTGTTGGAATACCCACTGCCTATTATTGAACATGGTATGAGAAACAGGTTCCACAAGGTTCGTCAGGACTGTATTTTGATACACAACTGCATTCGTTTTTACACCATTCTCACAAAAATGTACCTCTGTTAAGCCCCAATAAGAAACTCCCAACCACACCTGAGCGAGGATGAAAAATGACCTCGTTGGACACGCGGAATACGGTTGCTCTCTTCTTCACTACTGTGCACGTACACCTTATCATTTTGTTTGTTGTAGCTCTCTTCTACGGTAAAAATTTTTCATCCGAAACAAGAATTTCCCGATATTTTTTTCCCGCGTACCGCTTCAACAAAGTGCGGCATCTCTTCAGTCTCAGGTCCATTAGACGAGCATTCAAACGATGTCCAGTTTTTCTTCCATATGCCCGAAGCCCTAAGTCTTCATTTAACACCCTTTTCACCGTGGTTCTGCTTAACCCCATCTGAAGGGCCAACAGTTTAAGCTTACGTTTGGAATTCCTTTGAATTCG